TACATGGAAATAAATAATACTTTTAATTAATTTAATCAACGACGGTGTCATTATGACCCTCATTTGGATGCCATTATGGCCCTCATAATAACACTCACTGATATTGAAAATTCATAATAACACACAAATTTTAAAGTAAAAAATAAAGAACAACAAAGTTAGTCACCACTTTTACTTATTACTTATTAACTATAAAAAATTCAACAACATTTATTTATTTTGTAAACATTAATTACAACTTCTGAACAGTTTGTTAAATTAATTCCAGCAGACGATAAGTGCGCTGTATTTTTAGAAAGTAAATTTATTTCCCAAGATTGTGACTGAAACGTTACCAAAAATATTAGAGGCCACTTTCTTCTTATTTCTGTGCCACGTAAGGTTATGGAGAGGATTATTTGTGAAGAGCTCATCAAATTTTTACTTAACTATGATATCATACCTCAACACCAACATGGATTTCTCCCTAGTCGTTCGGTTGTGTCGAATTTACTGCAAGCTGTTAATTCCTGGACTATATGTGCAGACAACCGACAACCCTTAGATGTTCTATACTTAAATTTTTCTCGAGCCTTTGATAAAGTGCCGCACTCCCGTCTGTTGAATAAACTGAACCACTTCGGTGTACGTGGCAAACTTTTAAACTGGAACTCCGAAAACGGAAGGTATTAAGCGGTGTGCCGCAGGGTTCAGTCCTTGGACCAATTTTATTTCTAATATACGTGTCAGACCTTAACCAATAACTGCAGGTCTCAAGTGTTATCTTATGCAGATGATCTTAACTTGTTTTCCTCACTTTCTTCGCTTCTACAAGAAGATCTTAATATGATTATGAATTGGTGTTCTGAATGGTTGTTGCCTCTTAATCCTGAAAAGTGCTGTATACTACACATGTCCAAAACCAATCCTAGACTAGCATGTAACAATAATGGAATCGAACTACCGAGTGTGACACATCAAAATGATCTCGGCGTTGTTATAACAGAGTCTCTTTCCTGGAGTGCCCATGTTACAAAAGTTGTGAAAAAGTGCAGTCAATTAATTTTCATAATTAGAAAACCTTTCTGTGACCCACTATCACATGTTTCTCAAGTTATATAAATCCTATATTCGCCCTCAGATAGAGTTTGCCGTAGCCATTTGGTCTCCGTTATTAAAGCAGGATATTGCAAGATTGGAAGGTGTTCAAAGGCGTGCTACAAAACTCCCAGTCGGTTTTAAATATCTTACATATGAAGAACGTCTTATGAGCCTCCGTCTTCAATCATTGGAAGTGCGACGTACTCGTGGTGACCTCATAACAACTTATAGAATACTTCATAGTGAATTATACTGTCCAGAAACGATGTTTCAACTAAACACTGATTCTCGTCTTAGAGGTAACTCCTTCAAACTTAAGAAAGAAAATTTCCACACCCGCAACAGACATCATTTTTTACCCAATAGAATTTTCGATCAGTGGAACTCCCTACCAGATTATGTGGTTTCGGCACCATCTCTTAATTCCTTTAAGAATAGACTCGATGGCCACCTTAATCCCCAAACAGGATAATATTTTTCTAGAATATGCATGCATATTTTATTTTATTTTTTTTACTGTTTGAATTCGTGGCATTAATTTTTGTTTCTTATTTTTCTCTTTTTATTGTATTTTTCTTATCAACCCTAAGTATTTTTTTTATATTAGAGCATTTGCTTCAGCTCTTAAAAGTTCTTAATAATAATAATAATTTTCTTTGGAATCTTCTATACAGGGCGTCTCATAATTAGTGTCCAATAATTTACCACTTGATTCTATTGCCAAAAATAAGAATATTTTTTCATATAAACATGGGTCGAGAAATGCTACGCCCCCCTAAATGGGGCCCCAAAAAAATTCGTTTTTTTTAATATTTCCGAAATGGGTTGAAGAAAAATTATGAATTTTGACAACGTGAGCGCTCATTAAATGTCGAAATAGTTCATTATAAAATTTTTCAAAATTTTAGACAGGGGCGTCTCAATTGGGGGGTCATTGGCTAAAATTTGCCCCAATTTTTTTGCTTGTCGATATTTTCAAATTCAGATTTCATTACATACATTGATAAAATTCAAAAACATTTTCTTGGCTAGCTAAAATGGGTACATGTACTATTATGAATTTTGATTTGTCATCATATTATTATGCCTTGTACTAAACAACGTGAAGAGTTCTTAGAAAAGTTTGTTACAGGCGTCCTAAGCGAGGGGGGGGGGGGGGGGAGAGCTCGAGTAATTTTTTTTTACATGTTACTATTTTCAAATTTAAACAGTAAAATTTGATAGATCTGAGTTTTCTATTAAAAATAGTGATATTGTTTTATATAGAAAAAGTAATCCGTTTTCGAGAAAAATCGGTTTAAATATGTTATAACACTTTCCAACATATGCTTTTCTAAGCACTTAAATCCGTTTATCTTGGAAATAGAGCATTTTATCGAAAGAAATAAAGAGTACCTTTTTTGTAGAGGAAATGAAGGTGTATTATATGGCCTCTGAATTTGAAAATTTTGACAAGCAAACAAATTGGGGCAAATATTAGCCGACAACCCCCCAATTGAGACGCCTTTGATCAAAATTTTGGAGAAATTTTATGATGATCTATTTCAACTTTTAATGAGTGTCCATGCTGTCAAAATTCATAATTTTCCATCAATCCATTTCGGAAATATTAAAAAAAATGAATTTTTTGAGGCCCCATTTAGGGGGGCGGGCGCCGTGAGCCCATTTTCTCCGGCTGCACCATACACTAACACCAAATCGACACGTTCGGAAATAGTAAATGCATTTTCTCTCGGTTCATTGTAAAACTAGTTTGTGCACAGACTAAAAAATTAAGCAAAGTAAGAAATAAGAATCTCGTTTTTAATGTAATAGACACGTTATTTTTATTTTTTACTTCTTTATAAAAATTACACTGTCGCTATCGTGGAATTACAAAATAAAAACTTTTGTCTGGAATCTTTCACATTTTAACACTGATGGGTCGATGGACGATGCTTAATATTTAATAATTAAGTGAATAATGAATTCAATACAAATACAAAATCAGTTGACTGCACACATTTTTTGACAATGTAACCTAACCTTCTTTTAGTATTACTAGTATTACATCATACCGACTTAAATTATAAAGTTGTATCTCGGATCGTATAAAAACATTTCCAAAGTTTTTAATAGATAACACAGGGTCGACCTTCATTTTCGTTGAATAAATGAACTTTAATTTACAAAAAAAAAACGCGAAGATAGAACTTTTGCGTATAAGAGTTTTCTATAACAAATATCATCAGGAAGCTGTAGTTTAATTTTTATAAATTATACACGCCACACCCTGTATACAATAAATTCTATTCAAAATTTCAACTCAACATTTAATGTGCGCTTTGAACTCTATTTATTTTGTATTTATTGTTGTATTTTTTATCATATATTATTAAATTTACTAAATATTTTTAAAAAATAAGAGTGATGTCCTTGCCCACAATTAAAACACTGTACATGTTTGCTCCAACATATTTAAATAAAACGCTTTAATGTAATTTAAAACGTAACATTTTGGTCCTTTAACGTTATATCAACTGAAACTACGTGATTGCAACTGTTTTTAAACCATCATGTTCTCTTTGGGTTACGCACAAAATTTACGCCATATAATATATGGTCTATTACGTTACATCTTCCGTTCATTAACGACAATGTAAACTACATCTGCGACAACGGCACAGCGAAACTGGCTAAAAGTTATACGGAAGGCGTAGAACGTTGGTATTCTAGCTGCGGGACATATAAATATCTCCGCCGTAACCCTGTGTCGTTCAAGATCAATCAATATGTGGGAAAGATTCACAGAAAATATCTTCCAGCTATCTGGAAACATCGGCGCAGTTTCCATATCAATAACTCCATTGCTAAAATACTGGCTCGCTCGCTTGCAGTGTTTGTTTTGGACGGTGTGTCGAAATGTAAATACATTTTTAGATAATTGGTTATATGAAGCCCCTGACACTACTGGGAATGTGATAGAATGGATCGTATTTTTGGTTTGTAATTTAGAAGGTATTAGAATGACTGTTATTTAATTCATTATAAGGATACTGTGTGTACCCTTCAGTTACAGAATACTTTATTTTCGAAATAAAGAGACATTACACATGTGCTTTACAACGTTTTTTCTTTGATCGTACAAAGAAATGGTGAAGTTATAGTTAATATTTATAGAACTAGAGCGACTTTCGTTACTTTGGGAGTTTATATTATTCGACTGTTATATCTGAAACTATACCTATACTACATATTTTTAAATATTTTAAGCATCATTAGTAGGTTCTCATAATAAGAACTAAAGAAACGATATTGTAAATAAACTTCTGTAAGTGAAATCGCCAAAAACATTTTGTGTGCAACATTTATCCGCATTATCCGTCTTGTCGCTCATTTAATAAAATCATACATTTTTTACTGAGTAACACTGGACATATCTGTACAATTTCATTTTTGCAAAAAATTTTTACTTCCCGCTTCCTGCCTGAATAAAAGTTAATGACCTCGGCTGAAGACTGACGCCCCCGACGCGTGCTCACATTTTTATAAATTACACGTTCTATACTATATCATTAAAATAGATTTCACGTTTGGTACCTACCTACTAAATTTTTTTTAATATAATTTTTGTACCTGTTCAACGCATCTCCCACCTCCACCCGAAAAGCGGCAGCTGAAGATCGTTTGGTTTCTACCATATAAGACCTCACATATGTCTGAAAATCAGCCTTGGTAAAATGACAACCCCCAAAATGTCATGGGCTTCCGGACTAATGGGAATATATCTAAGGCAGACTACAACACCCCTAAGCAGTTCTGCAAGCCGTAAAAGAATGTTGGACGAATTTTCCAAAACTTACGGATGTTTCGAAATTTTGCTCGAAGTTCCCCAGACACTACGAACGGTCTTCAACCATGTCAAAAGTCGTTCAACACAGCGCCTGAAGACACCCAGAATTACAAAAATCGTCGATCTTTCCGATAAATTCACCGACCTTTCCAAATTTCTACCGTCGTGCCACCAGGACCAGACATCGAGCACCCCTACTCCGTATCACCGGACGATGAGCACGTCCTATGCCAAAGCCTCCCTGAGACCGCCGACGAGAGACGAGGGAATAAAACCCAGGACGAGGCGCATCCGCGTCGTGGCGCCCAACGTGGGACTACCACCGGTGATAGGCAACCGACCTACCTCGTAGCCCAACCAGGCAACCAACCGAGGGACTTAATCCTGGAAAAGACCAATAACATTCCGCGACATGGCGCCCAACGTTGGGCTATGTTGCCGAATGAAAATGAAACTAGAGACATTCCGCGACACTATACTCGTCTCTACACTGAGCATCATTTGTGTTGTTTACTTCTGCTGTAGTAGAAACGGTTCCTAATCAATTGAGTAAACAGATTATTTATGTGTATTTCATTATTGATTACTGCTTGAGTATTTTACTAGGTTAAGTACTGTTTCATAGTTTATCTTATTTAAAAGAATTATCCTTTCGTTTTTTGTGGGATGATAGGGCTCGTAGCGAACATCCATTCAACAAAGGGAGGTGGAAATTTACTTTTTAGTAACATTTCCTTTAAATCAATATGTTGCTTACAATATTGTATAGATCTACTGATTTTTTATCAGTGTCGGGAGTACCGCAGGGCTCTAATCTGGGTCTAGTTTTATTTTTGTTCCTTATAAATGACTGGTGTTCTATTGTTGAGTCACTATTTGATGTTTGCTGATTATCTTAAATTTTTTTCTAAAATTGGCACCGTATCTGACTGCATTAACCAAAGACCTCAGAATGACTAGACAAGTAATTCCCTATACATTGCAAAGGAATTGTTTTGATTTTCCACAACTTGAGACATCCTGCTATTAAACAAGGATGAAGATAGTTTTTTGTTTACTAGGGAACTCTTAACCAGTGGCGTATGTGTTAAAAAGGGTGATGCATTTTAATATTTGTCTAATTTATATATACTTACCGATTTCACACCTAATTTGATTTTAAAATAATATTAATGACTTCCTTTTTAAATGAATAGAACCATGTTCGTATTACTCCATAACGGCACTTACTGCCGAAAAAAAAGTAATACTAGTTACAACAATCTTTATTTTCTCAGTAACAATATACATCAATATGTTAAATAATACTAATTAATAAAAGTTTTTACCAGTTGAAATAGGAATCACAAAGTTACAGTTACATATAGTATGGTAGCTATACTATACTTGTATACAATAATATGCATATCAAGTAGGACAATTAAGTGATAAATGAAAGAGAAATAGTAAATGGGGTCATTACACATATTTTTAAGTTCTTTAATTTCTTAAAACAGATTTATTGGATCTAATATGTTATGGTGGCAATTGATACAAAGTGATCCCGAATTATGTGCAAAAAATTGTTTATACAATTTTAATAGGGGTCCTGTATTTTGACTAAACGAACTTGGGAACTCAGGAACTGATGTGTCCTTAAGATAAACTCGGCAACCAGGTCTTATTAAGAAATCACTTGATGTGAAGTGATCTGAACATACAACACTATCTTTAGGAATATTTTCCTTTCCTATACATCTCAAAATGCGAGAGAACCAAACGTCTCGGCGTTCAACATTCGAAGGAATCCTAAAATCAAATTACCTAGGTATATTTCCTTTTAAATAATGTTGCCTTTGCAATTCATGTTACTTTTTATTTAACCGTAACACACAATTCACGTTTTAAAAAAATATTTTATATTTTCAATATTATTGCACTGAAAATTTTCTATTTCAAATTTTGTTTTAAACTAGCTTCTGTTATCTGTTACGCCCATGGTAAATCTACCTACTTGTGAAAAGATCGATTGCCTCCACTTTTAAAGCGAAATCTACATATAACACAATATTTTCCCATTGTACTGCGCGCGCACCTTACCACATGTATTTAGCCAATAGGAGGCTGAGTTCTCAAAATATTTACAGTAGAACAAAACAAACCAAGACAATGCACTGTCTATCCTTTCTGAGGTCGTTGGCATTAACAACCAGAATCAGTTGAATAGAATTGAACATTGGTATCAATTTAACATTCTCAGTACAAGTGTATCAAAGTGTAAGGTTATGACCTATACGAGGAAACAAGCATTTGTGGCTTTTTGTTATACGTTTAATTCAAGCATTTTACGGCGATGTTAAATCATTAATGACTTCATCGTCATCTTCGATAAGAAGATATTTGCAGCTCAAATTGAAAATATACAATCGTCACCAAGTAAATTAGCTTGAATATATCATCAGGAACTGTAATACCTTCAATAATGATAAAGCCCTTAAAACACTTTATTTCTCGTATATTAGATCTAGGCAGGAATATTGTAGTATATTATGGTCACCTATTTACAAGGTACACAACTTAAACCTGAACAGAGTACAAAGGAATTTTTTTCAATTTCTTCATTTTCTTCTTGTCAGGGGATATGATCTCCAGCTGCTTAGAAATGAATTTAACATACACTCTCTTAAACTTCCTATAATGCAGCAAAATCTGAAATTCCTCTATTTGCTGACACACAATGGAATTGATTCAGATTTGTTGCAAAAATTATTGTATCAATTTACACCTGTTACAACTCGCCAACTCTCTATTTTTCACTTGCCGCATGCTAATTCAGATTTATTGATAATCACCTTTTTATAATATGTTGCATAACTTTAATATGATTTCTGGTATGTACATGTGATAAATTTCGATGGGCTAAATGTCGTATTGATAGATTTGGTAGATTTGCAGTAGCCGTAAGTGTTTTCATCTATAGTATATTAATTGCTTCTGTTCTTTGCATTGTAACCTGATGTTATATTCCTGTATGTGCATATAATTATGTCTTGTGTAGTCTATATATCTATGTATAGTCTATCATTGTTATTTTTATACTCTAGTGTAGTAATATTATCCTGTAATTGTAGTAATCTGTTGGCCAATATAAATAAAAACTACATAAATAAATATAAAATTTGACAATCATGCACACCCCAGTTCCCAATTGTGCACGCGCTGCGACTAAAGCACGCCATTGTTTAAGGTACACTAGTTTGCTTGCAGCGGGGTATGAATATTACTAAAAATAAAGGTTAAATAAATTAAGTTTTCAGTACGGAATTTGAAAAAATAAAATATTAATAAAGCTCAAGGGAAGCCTCTGTATAAATATGAAACTCAAAACTCTTTTATTCCTTTCTTTCAAATATTCGTGTAGACGTCGCTATACGAAGCATTATACCGTGCTAGGAGCAGAAGCGTTAAGAATGCGATAAAACAAGAGTTTATTTTATGTACCTTGTATTAGGTGGGTGGTAGGTACTTATAGAATATCGATGCATAAATTGCGACGTAATTGTTTCTTCTTGAGCTTTGAGCATTTTTAATTTTTTTTACTAAGTAGATATTCATTGTCTATTACAATGTAAAATAAAAACAAATTTTATATAAATATTAAATAGTTATAGAGTATTTTCATGACCCAGTGATTAAATTGAAGGTAATTTGTTTGGGAATGGGGTCAGTTTTTAAAAAAAAAACAGTTTATTGGTTAGTCGACGTTTCGGCTATATTTAAGCCTTCTTCAGGACAATCCAAAAAAGGTTTTCCGTGTAACAAATAATCTAAATAATGGGGAGTAAAATAGGTAGTATGTTGCTGTATCAAAATAGTACATTACTCGATGTTGATTAAAATATCTATTCATATATATTTTAATTACCTTCAATTAAATAGTTAGCTGGTTCATGATGAGAGCTTTAATTTAGAAGCTTAAAAATAATAAAAAAGCATTTGAAAATAAGGATGTTATATTTTATTTAATTTTATAAATCCTTTTTTCTTATAGACTTAATAGTCTTCGTCTCAGAAATAAACCCCTTCAGTATTCAGTAGCAGTTTTTTGTTCCGAATTTCATAGAATTTAACTTCATCTTTATTGCGGGGGGTGGGGGGAGTTTGCAATCTAAAGAATGCATAACATTTTAGAAAAAACGATTTATATAAGTTAGGTTATAATTTAAGATGAGTACCACACTTCGACGGTTTAATCTCTACAAACAGATGCACAAAAAACTTTATAGCTTTGTGAAAGAGGGTCAGGGCATGGTACGGGAAAGAGAAAAGGTAATAAAAGCTTTATACCTAATTTGAACTAATTTGAATTTTTATGTACCTATTAGAAATGGAAGTATATTAAGAATCTTGTATTTCACGTAGGTATTTCAAATATTTGCTAGGTAATTTGGTTGTTCAAATTCAGTTCAAATAGAAAAATATTAATCTCATTGTTAAATATTCGTAATATAAAGGGTGCCCCAAAGTTAACGCAGAATTTGAATTATACGCCATTTTCATTCCGAAGAGTTGGTAGCATTGTGTAGCATTATAGCGTTGTAGTAAACACGTTGCGGTTAGACAAAATGAAGCGCTATACGACGGATGAGCGAGTGAAGGTTGTGAAAATTCATTAAATGCAAAGAGTGTGTAGCTAAGACTGTGCGTAAATTACGTGAAATTTTTGATAGAAGGAACACCCCGAATGAAACAATTGTAATTCAATCAGAATAACTTATATCAACAGCAAAAATACTGTAGTTTTAATAAAATAATAAAGATAGTATTAATACAATTTTAAATATATTTGCATTGTTAACTTTTATTTTACTTTTATGCGTTTTAAATAACATCTTTTAAAATAAAATTATCATGCACCCATCAAGAACCAAGTTTGGTGTATAGTCCTTCCGATATCAATCGAAGAACCAAGAAGGTGACAATATGTACCAGGTTCGGTCGCTCACGCAGCAACTCGTCATTGAAATATTCGAAAAACTTGTTCCCATATTCATTTAGCCATACCCATATACAGGTCTGGTCGAAATAAACGTGGAGGTGGTAGAAATGTATACGTCCAGTTGAAGAATGCGAGCGCGGGCAAACGAAATACAAATACAGCTGCATTGGGCCACTGGGCAATAAATCTCAGCTGTTGACAAGTGGTTGACAAATTGCCCAGCAGTCTAGGGTAGCAATGCGGAATTTGGTGTGGTTCAGGTAATTTTAATTTGTTATAGGCACCTTCTATTAATCATTGATATTACAATTGCGAAAGGGAGAAATAATATTATTACAACATGGCATTTTGGAAACCTTTTGAAACGGAACAAA